CCACTACTTATTTATGCACTCCTTGAAAAAGAGGTCTTTTTGACTCTTTTTCCACTTCAGGCCCTTTTCAGGGTGTAAGGGTATAAGCCACAAAAAAAATTCCCCCCAATTAACTTCTTCTTCTTTTTTTTTTCTTTTTTTTTAATTTCAAATTAAACAGGTCCTTAAGGTCCTGGCTCCGTATCCATTCTGGGGAGCGTCAGTCCGGTTCCTTTCCTCTGGCAAGTCAAATGATGAAATACATGGTGAACACCCTCACACTTCCTTCCGTTTGGCCGAAGGAACCCTGACCAGCATTGATTGCTCCTTCTCAGGAGGACTGACTGTCAGCTTGCCCTCTCACTTTTCCTCTCAGAGTTTACTGTGTCTCTGTCAGATCATGCGTATAAAACAAGAAAAGAGGAGGCATGTCTATAATCGTTGAGATTATGATCTCAGTTTGTTTTCCTCTATGTTCCTGGAATTATGTTGTGCCACTTTTTCCACACCAATCTGTTTTCCACCGGGGTGGCGATCTTTCCCTGTAGCAGCCAGTCTCTTATGAAAACTCGTCTCTTTATGGATGCCCTTTCTGGTTTGCCTTTCGTCAGCGCTGTCACTTCTCTCCATCTGGCTCGAATCTCTGTTTCGGCCATTCTTAGCAGTAGTGCCCACATTTCTTCTCTTGACACCTCAGTTCCCTCGATCGTCTTGGTGCATCCCCAGATTACCCATAACGCCAGTTTTCTGAGTAGATGTAACCATACTTCCTTGCCGCCTTTGAGATTGTTAGTGTTGCTGGATAAGAGCAGGATGTTCAGAGATGTTGTGGGCGGGGGGGGTGATGAGAAGAGGAAGGTCCATAGGTCCCGTACTTTGTTCCATATCCAAGCTGCCTCCTTGCAGAGTAGGAGGCAATGAGGTATATCTTCCGAGGCGTTGTATGTGCATAGACTGCATAGTTCAGTGCTGTCGGGGTCTGTGTGTTTTCTTCTTTTGTGGAGCCATTGGTTAGTGGGCAGTGAAGCGTGTGCTAAGAGCCATTGCATGCTCCGGATTCTGGCCGGTCTGATGGACAAGAACTTTGACCACGGGATTGCTACGGGGACAGAGGGGTCCAGGTCCAGAATCTCCCTCCACTTTATTTTGAGTCTGGGATCTGGGTCAGTGGTTTGCAAGCCCAGCTCATAGCCGAATTTGACATCGTATTCGGCTATCGTTCTTGTTTTCCCTGGTTTCCCTTGTTTCCATATCCATTCTTTCGGGTCAAATTCTAGCTCTGAGATGCTGAGGTTCGGTTGGAAGATCTTCCAGGGCGTAGCCTTCAAGACCCTCACTTTCCTCAGCCTGAAGGTCTCAAGTGTATCGTATTGGGGGTCTTTGTTTTGGATTTCTAACTCGTGTGTGTTGTGTTTGGCGACGGGGTAGGAGTAGAAATTCGATAGATGTCCCGTTGGGCCAATCCTGTTTACAAATCTGTATGCTCTGGTCGGCTGGGTTTGGGATTTCAGTACTCCCCAGTCTCCGGGTTTCCACGAGAATTCCTCTTCGAGAAGGGGGAGCCAGTGTGCGGGGATACTTTTCTGGATCAGCGTTAAGTTATCAGCGAGGGAGTGGCAGCCTTTTAATACATTGCGTAGTTCTTGCTCAGTAGCCCACCGTCCTTGGTCTTCAAACCAGATATGTTTGACCTGCCATACGCCTTTTTCTACCCAGGAAAGCCATCTAHGGTCCWTGGAGCGTAGAGTCCAAACTGCCCCRTTGGGGTCCGTGATCCAGGGGTTGCAGAAAAGAGGTTGTCTCAGGACTTCKTCTCTGTTTCCTGGTGCCYCGTGTTTGCTAGGCATCATCTTGCRCCATGCTTTTATGGTAGGGTGCCAATATGCATTGACTGYTTGGGTGTGGTTTGTGCTSAGTTGTGAGGGGKTTCTCCTTCGCGTTCTGCCGGATTTGATTGTCCAGTCTTTTGCCATGAGCCAKAACTGACCGTTCATGTTCGGGGGGGAATTGACGGGGGCTAGGYTTCTGATGCTGTCTAGCGCCATCTGGGTCCATGGGAGGAATTGTCTGATCAGAACCTTGATTATCCATTTCATTTGCAGTGCTATTGACTCCTGTTTGGGATCGATAATCCCGAGGCCTCCTTCCTGTGGTTTCCTTGTGATATGGTTCCATGCGACCCTGTTGATACACGTAATCCTGTTGGGATCGCCTGTCCATAGGTAACATCTCACCCTGTTTTTCAGCTCCTTGAGGATGTCATCAGGGAAGGACCAGATGGATGCCATGTACCATAGTGTGGAAAAAATGGCTGTGTTAATCAGTAGCGCCCGTCCGATTAGGGAAGCCTGAGCGTTTTTGCATTGTGCCAGGCGGGTGATTGCCCTGGCGATTAGGTTCTGCCCCATTCCTGGCCAGACACCTTCCTTATTGATCATGATGCCCAGGAACCTTATTGCTTGCTCACCCGAGGTCCATCTCATGGGTGTGTCGGTGTTTGGTGGTTGGGGAGGGATGCCGTCAGCGAGCCACCATCCTTCTGTTTTGTTCCAGTTTACCCTCATCTCTAAGGCTAATTGGAAGGCTTCCATAGCTCTTACGAGAGTTTGAAAGGAACTGCTGTTGGCTCGGATGAGGACCATGAGGTCGTCCGCGAACATGAGTGTTGTGGGTAATGCGAAATCGTGTAGGGGGTTGAAATTCCGTTCTGTGAGGTGGTCGATGGACGGATCTTTGCGAAGGAAAGAGGCTATGGCTTCTATGATGAAGAGGAATATGGGAGGAGCCAGTGGGTCGCCTTGTCTGACTGATCGTGAGATTGGGTAGGTATCAGAAAGGATTCTGTTGACCTGGACCCTGCCTGTTGCGTCTGCGTACAGTACTCTCACCCAATTTCTGAAATTCGGGCCAACTCTCATCTTCTCCATACATGAATGTAGGAAATCCCAGTTTACCTGGTCGTAGGCCTTCTCAAAATCGAAGAATAGTATTGCCGCCTTCATTCGTTTTTCCGTGATCTTTTGTGCTGCCTCATTTAGAGTCATTACGTTGTCTAGTATGTACCGACCCGGGATGAATCCGGCTTGGTCGATGTGGAAGCAGCTGTCGGTTAATTTGGTGATTCTGTTTGCGAGGGCCTTGGCTAGGATTTTGTAGGGCGTGGTTAGTAGGGACATGGGTCTGTAGTTCTTCAAGTCTTCTTTGTCTCCCTTCTTGTAAAGTAGTGAGACCACGCTGGTACTCAGATCTTCTCCTAGGCCTCCTCTGCGCATGCTTTCATTGAAAAACTCAAGCAGGTCTTCACCCAGGGTTGGCCAGAAACAGCTCCAGAATTCTTTGGAGAGTCCGTCGATGCCTGGGGCTTTATCGTTTCCCATCTGTGTTAGGGCTGCGTGTAGTTCGGCCAGTGTCAGGGGTTTTTCGAGATCCTCCGCCTGAATCTCTGTGATGGTCCTGTCGAGATAGGAAAGCATGAGTTGGCGAGCCGCTAAGTTCGCAGTGGTCGGGGGTGCGGGTGTCTTTGACTCGTAGAGGTCTGCGTAGAATGATCTAGCTATCCTGACCATCTCGGGGCCTGTTGTTTTGGTGATCCCCTGATCTGTTGGGTCTTTGAGGCCTTCTATCATATTGTTCCTTGCATTAGCTTTTATTTTAGAGAAGAAGAACTTTGTCATGGATTCATTGAGTGTGTAGTCTGTCATCCTTGCTCTAATTTGTAGGCCTCTYAGTTCCCATCTTCTCCACTCGTTCATTTCTTYTTTGGTCTYGTCTAGTAAGTCTTGGTAGAAACTGTTAGTTGGGTCTTCCGCCAGGTTTGCTTCWGCAACRRCTATAGYGAACTGGAGMTCTTCCCTTCTTCTTTTGCGGTCTCTAGCAATATYTSTGGACTCCGCTGAGGCTATYCGTGTTAGATTCATGKAACTGTCGATGAACCATTGGTGGCTGTTTATCTGTTTTGAATCTCGCTGTTTGTTGAGGGTCCAGTTTTCTTTGACTGCCGCGGTCATTCTTTCAGTTTTTATTAGGGAGTTGTTCAGCMTGAAAAAACCCTGGYCTGTTTGGACTGGTACATTGAAGTTYAGCAGCATCTRAATGGGTTTGTGGTCCAAACCTTTGAATGCTGCAGATGGGAGGATTTCGGCCTCTTTAACTGTGYCGAGTAAGCTCTCGGATATGAGGAAGTAGTCTATCCTGGACAATGAAGTCCRGTTGACTTGATTCCTCCTTATCCGGGAGAATACTTTTTTGTCCGGATGTAATGACCTGAAGGGGTCACAGAGTTCGAATTCAGTCATTAAGTTTTGAATCCGGGTGCCCGCTCTTGTGGGTCCCATTAGTGTTGTTCTCGATATCCGGTTCAGGTTCGGGTCTAGGGTTGTATTCCAGTCCCCTGCAATGACTATAGGATGTGGGTTGGGGATGAGGGACTTGATGTTCTCGAAGAATGTTAGTCTGTCGGATTCCGTATTTGGTGCATACAGGTTGAGGATTCGCAGGTCCTCTCCTTGCCATTTGATGTCTAGCCAAGACCATCTCCCATCATTGCAATCCCCCTCGCTGTTCAGGATTTGACCCTCGGACAGGATTTTAGATCTTTTTGGGACCAGTATTGTTGTTCCTTTATTGCTTTGACCAGCTTTATTAGACCACAGAGCGAATGTGCATCCCCCTACGGTTCTTTCCATCATCTGCTGAATCTTCGAATGGTTGATCAGATTAAACAGGTGAGTTTCTTGGAGGAGGATGAGGTCTGGTCTATGGGTATCCTTCCCCGCTAGGCCCGTCCGCAGATCTCTGAGCTTGTCCTCCTCTGTCAAAGCGTTCCCCAGTCCATTGACGTTCCAGCTGATAATCTGGAGCCCTTTAGCATGCCAATTTATCCTGGTTGGGCTGACTTGCCCGTATCTGCTACTTGTGGGAATCTGCATTGTTGCTTCTTTTTTTTTTTTCTTTTTTTTTTTCCCCCTTCTTTTTCCTTCCTGGTTAGCTTTGGTTAATTACCGGTGTTGTTCTTTCATATTGCTTAAGGTGGGGTTTTATTTCTTCCAGGTGGTGAGTTATTTAGTCTGCTGCTGCCTGGGTCTTGCTGCCGTCGGTGTCCTCGTCTCTGTTGTCCTCACTTGTCGCTRAGGATCCCAGGCTRTACTYGCCAGCGCTGCTCTCYGTYGTCGAGCGTGGCTCCTCGTCGTCTCCTCYGGGGGAGATCTTGTCGCCCACTTCCATCCCGTCATCCTCATCGTCCTCCATGTCCGCTTCTTCCTTCCCCATGTCCACGTAGATGGGGGTCGCCTCGTCCTGCAGCGAGGTCTTGGAGGTCAGAATGCGGGTCCTGATGATGTCGGCCAGCGAATCTGCAATGATGTCGGTTGTGCTGAACCTTCCGTTCARCACGTTGTAAGGCARCATTGTGAYCGTGTCCCAAGCCCTCCATGTCAGGCCTTCRCAGAGTTTGGCTTTCTCGTCGAGCTTGACCAGGATGGGGTCGAAAGGGGTGAGGATCAAATCKTCCAACGCCTTCCCTTCGGCTRTCTGTTCCCTTGGCRGGATCCCAAACACYCCCRGCGGGATCTCCGCTGAAATATTGTYCCTGATGTTCCTGGCCAGGGCATTGTCATYGTCGAGGGTGGRAAATGTGAACGCTGCRTCTGTGGCCACCTGCCACTCATTGAATTTGTTCCTGAACCGGACTGGGATCAGCGGTCTTACCGCCCTCGTGGTCCCCCTATCAACTCTTGCYGATTTGGGGACGTCWGGCRCCTTGTTTTCARCGATCATCCGGACTGTTATGAATTTCTCTCCTTGTTCCTTTTTGTAGTCCTGGTTCTGGTCGAACAACCTTTTTGTCTGTGCTGCCACTGTTGCTATTTCCTGCGTGAGTCTGCGCTGTTCATTCTTGCTGCCTGCTTCGTTCTTGGGGGGACCCTTCGGCCTCTTGTCCCTTCCCTTCGACGGTTTCCAGTTCTTGGAAACCATGTCTCGGATGGAGTCTGTCGAAGTTTGGGGGTCGAAACCTGTGTTGGTGTCTGTTCCAGCCGATTCTCTTTCCCTCTTCTTTTCGTAATATCTGAAGGCGCTGAACTCTGAGAGCTCGGCGTTCATGCGCAGCAGATCGAAAAAATTCTTGGACTGCGGGATTCCGGCCACTGTTTTCCTCTTGGCTGGCTTCCCTATTTTTTCCAGATGTTTCACGCATGCCAACCTGATATCGAATTCTTTCTCTCTTTCATATTTTCCTCGCTGCAGGTACTCTTCGAGCCAGGGGGTGGGGCTTGCTTTGCTTTGTGCAGTATCCGTTCCTGTTCCCCTGTCCGCTGCTTTCGAGTCTGTCCCGGGGGGGGTGTTGTCAGTGTGGGGGTGCTCAGAACTGAGAGTCTTACCTGAGCCCTCCTCCGTTGCTCTCCTCTTCTTGCCTGCCCTGTCCTCTTGGGAGCTCTTGGCGGAGGGAGAGGCGTTCCGTTTGAGAGCGGGGGGATTCTCTGGTTTGGGGTGGCGGTGTTCGAGGGTCTGTTTTTCTTCCTGCAGCAGGGTGTTGTTGTCTAGATTAGTGTTCTAGCACGTTTCTGCTGTCTTGGTCCTGATTGTCTCCATGTCCCACAGCAGATCTTCGTGTTTTTTTTCTCCCTGATCGCTCGTGGGTCGATGATCTGATCTTTGTGGATTTTTCCTGGGATGCCTGTTACTTTCTTTGCTCCCACTGCGTGCCATCTGCTGTCTGAAGGGGGGAATATATCTGGCTGTTTTGTTGACGGGTTCGTGTTGTATGTCCATATCCATTTCGGGTCGTCGATGGTGTCGTCGAAGACCAGCATGTTCATAAGAGACTGGCTGCTACAGGGAAAGATCGCCACCCCGGTGGAAAACAGATTGGTGTGGAAAAAGTGGCACAACATAATTCCAGGAACATAGAGGAAAACAAACTGAGATCATAATCTCAACTATTCTAGACATGCCTCCTCTTTTCTTGTTTTATACGCATGATCTGACAGAGACACAGTAAACTCTGAGAGGAAAAGTGAGAGGGCAAGCTGACAGTCAATCCTCCTGAGAAGGAGCAATCAATGCTGGTCAGGGTTCCTTCGGCCAAACGGAAGGAAGCGTGAGGGTGTTCACCATGTATTTCATCATTCGACTTGCCGGAGGAAAGGAACCAGACTGAAGCTCCCCAGAATGAATACGGAGCCAGGACCTTAAGGACCTGTTTAATTTAAAAAAAAAAAGAAAAAAAAAGAAAAGGAATTTGAAATTTCTGATATGTCAGCGGGTGAATTTCGAACAGCTCAAAAGACACCAAATTTGGCAAACAGCAACCTTGACCTAAAACAAAAACAGGGAAAAAAAAGAATCAAAACACAAAAACATTGACCCCCAAACCTTACTTTCAGTTTTGAACCTGTTAGCCAGGAGCTGAAATTGGGGTGTCCGACGTCCGTTGACCAATTGTGCACAGAGTGGGCTTCCTCATTAGCTTGAACCACACTCTCTCAAGTTTGTACAGGATTGAGGGGATGGTTGATACTAATCATCAGAAGGTTTTCTGAGGCGTTCATGGTGGACTCGCTAATCTGACAGATGCAACCCAGCTGCGTCTGACAAAGACTGGTGAAGAGAACGGCAAGCTGACAGTCAATGTTCCAATAGGGAGCAATCAATGCTGGTCAGGGACCCTTCGGCCTGGATGGAAGGACGTGTTGAGTGGTTTAAATATTTTAACTAGCGAGTGGAACAGAACCGCACTGATGCCCCCCCAGAACAGACAAGGAGCCAGCACCATAAGGACCCATTTATCAGTGTAGTCACGCCAACGGTTGGTACCCCTCAATTGGTCGGGGGCCGACCAGCGGACCTGTCAGCATCTACCGGTCGGCTGCTAGTTGGAACTCCACAAAATAATATAGAGAAAAGGAAGCAAGGCCACCGCCACCCCAGAATACCTCCCATGTCCCCTCCATAAGCCCCCAAACACCACCGTACCCCCCCCACCCGCCACCCCACCATAACCCCCCATACAGCCCCAAAGTCAGATTAAAAGAAAAGTTAGTGGATGGCTCTGTATCGGCTGGTCAGCAGACCGCCTACCGGTCGGCCCTCCCGGTAGGGTGCGGGCGTTGGCGTCCGTGGTCAGCTGGTATGCAACCCCAGCTGTTTAATTAAAAAAAAAAGAAATGTTACGATTATTGATCATTATTCCCAACAAATAATCATGAAAAAACACAAAATCATTTCAAAATTCAAAGTTTTTGACCACCTTCATGGGTTGATGCAACTCTTGTCACTCCAACTAAAACCCAAAACTTCCATGATTTTGAAGGCAACTTCGGAAGTGAAAACAAATCTCAAGATTAATTCAATTTAACTGGTTATAGTCTTATAGAAGCCTCCCAAATAATTTTCTTGTGGGAGTCTTCAAAGATCTTGAACTGCCTTTGCCCTGAAATGCTGTAGTTGACATGTAGGGCTGTATCCATTGAAAGCCAACTCCAATTGTTGTCAATTACTACTGACGACACAGTTTGCTTGTTGTCAAGCACTACTGAGGACACAGATTGCCGATCCCCGGATCCGCGGCAACCCAGCGCATGCTGTTGGTGATACACACCAGAAGAGTTTGTTTACCGCCGTGACAAACTGGACATGAGCATGGCTGTGGCAATGGGGATGGAGCAGTGAGAGTCTATTCGCTAATGAGAGTGAGGAGGAGATTGAGAAGACATGAAAGAACCCAGTCATCTGCACCCAAGCACAGTGAGAGAGGGGAGGGGGGGTCGATTGAACAATAGTTTGTGGGTGATGTGAGCATTGGAGAGATGGAGGCTATGGCGTTGTCCGCACAGGTAGTGAGATCGGGGTCAACTGGTTACGTGAGGAAGCTGTAGGAGTAACCACAGGGGTATCAACATGCGGGGGAGCAAAGGAGTGCAGGAGTGTAAGAGATCACAGCAAACACGAAAGCAGAGACCTGATCTCACAGCCACAACTTCTAGAAGCACGAGTCGGTTACTGATGTATTCTCATCACATGCTGGCAGAATAGGAACTGGATTGATGCTTCTGTGGGTCCTTTTTTTATTTAGAAAAAGAGGGACTGTTATTTTATCTGCAGACGCTATGGCTGCCCATAGCTGGAGTGAATGGTTTCCTTCTGTCTGCGACATGTGGATTCACAAAACTGAGGGACCTTCGTAACAAATCACTCTTTCACCTCCATTTCAGTAGCCAACTCCAAGCAACTCACATATCTTATCTACTTCTCTGAATAGTAATCTGTTACCAGATCATTACATAACAGACTTGAAATACATTGGCTATTATTGTTTGTATCTTTTCATCAGAGAGAGGAACTCATTGCAAATATACTGAGATGAACGTCATTTGAGATCATGAGGCACCTACTCTGTTCAAGATACGGCCCGTAGGGGTTGTGTCAAAAAATTCCATTGGTGCTCGAAATAACCTCCTTGTCATCCCCCAAAAAAATTCTTGTGTGGTCATGAGGCCAACTGTAGCAATCGTCATAGTCCTGCAACAGAAGATGGGCAACGATGTCAAGCATTCAGGCTGCATCGACATAATTTCCTGAACATGGGTCTCACAGCAGTAAGTCAAATGAGTCACAAGCAGTAGGGAAAATGACAAACCAACCCAGATAGTAACAGTGCAGCGAACAATATACAAAAGGCTGCATGGCAACACACCACCTGCCATCGCTCTTAGGTGTCGAACACCTAAAAGCAGAAACTTCAGGTACTTGTGCTGTGTCTCCCTCGTTTTCATTGTCGCCTTGGACTGTACACAGCAGTGAGTGTGCTCTTGCCACTGTGACGATGACTGTAATTATGGCCATGGCAGGGAATGATGCCATGGCATGTGCCCTTACAGCCTAATGGCGCAGTGTCTGGGCCTTCCCCCCCCCCCCAATGGTGGAAGAGACTGGGCTTAGGATCCTCCTCGCCCCCACATTTGCCCCATAGCCCGGTCGTGTGGCAGAGATGAGCAACGGGTACTCAAACCCATTTACACAAAGATTGCATTCTTCCACATTCTAACGAAAAAAACAAACAAACAGAATCACCGTCTTTCACACCATTTACACAAAGACTGCATTCTTCCACATGTCTGTGCACGTCAGTCTGAGACAAGAAAGGTTGAGAGGCAAGAGAAACCAAACCTAGCAAGGACAAACAACCCACTGCCGAGTGCCAAGCCTGCATAAACTCCAATGAAACTCCATGGATTTTTCGAAGGATCGGCATAACGAATGAATGAGTCGTCCTTAGCAGGAGCAGACGTGCTTTCAGCCAGCCACCAGTCACTCCCTATCTGCAGAGCCTGCCATATGCCCTGCAAGTCCAGATCCCCATTATCCCAATTAGAAGTCCGATTTTCTCAAAGCTGCCCAGCATGATCTACATGGTTTATGGAGCAGCAGCGCAGCAGCAGGACCTGCCACATGGTGCAGGATCTCTTCATGCTGTTCTGTTTGAAATTTGCAGGGTGGCATCTCTCCATCCTTTTCTGTGTGTGTGTGTGTGTGTGTGTGTGAGAGAGAGAGAGAGAGAGAGAGAGAGAGAGAGAGAGAGAGAGAGAGAGAGAGAGAGAGAGAGAGAG